TGACACACCCTATTATAAGCACCATAGAAACACTGGAGTTGGTGATTTTCACTTTTTATAGGTAGAGAAACTGAGGCACCCGAAGGCTAATGCTCGTGTCACACATCTAGCAAGTGATGGAGCCAGGCTGAACCCAGGCAGGTCGGTCTCTACAGCCGCTGCTCTGAACCCCACATCACCTCACCCCCCGTGATGGAGGTCTGTGCCTCATTCCTGTCTCCCATCCATTGGACTGCAGAGGACCATGCCCTGTGTTTCCTCTGCCTGTGTGTGGGAGATAATGATGACAATGAGAGCCACCATCTCCTAAGCACCCATTCTGTTCCAGGCATTGTGTCCAAGCTCTTTGCCTATGTTGAGTCTCATGGAACCCCTGCAGGTACTGTACCCATTTTACAGTCAGGGGAATCAAGGAACAGAAAGACTGGGGTTTCATGAGGCAAAGTGATAGGATTTGAACCCAGTTCTCCTGATTCCAGAGCTCAGGCCCTTGCCCACTCTGCTATCCTGCCCCACAAGTACTGTCACTTGAAGGAGTGTCTACTGAGATAGCATGAGACATCACTAAAATGACTTACTATTGTTTTTCCCCAATACTGAAAAAAGATTTTTTTTTAACAAGTCAGATTGGAGTGTGAATCTCACCCAGGTGCATGTTGGAATCACCTGGGGAGCTTGGCAAACCCCACTGATGTTTAAGCTCCATACTGACCAATTAAATTGGGGTTTCAGTAGGTGGGACCTGGGCTCACCAGAGCTGAGAACCACCTAAATAAGATGACCGTTAGGATCCTTCCTAGCTGTCAAGTTCCAAGGTTCACTGAAGGTATGCTGGCATCAGGTGGCATAACATGCCACATCTTCATGATCTAAGTGACCAGTCTCCGTCTGAAGAGATAAGTGCACTTAACTTTAGTTTTAACAATCCCTTAGTTAAACATAAACTTAATAATAATTAACAAAGATGTTAACATTTTAAGGACCACTTCTAAAACCAATAATCCAATAAGGAACAATTTGGTATCTTACTCACAAGTTAGTTTATCTGTATCATGGAAACCAAGGATTTGAGATAAAAATCCCTTCTGTGTTTGGATTTCAGTTATTTTTCTTGTTGACAGACAATGACCAGTGTTGACAATAATATGGAGATACTGGAACCCTCATACATTGCTGGCAGGAATGTAAAATGGTACAACTTCTTTGGAAAATAGTCTAGTAGATCCCAAAAAGTTGAACATAGAGTTACCATATAACCCAGAATTTCCACTCCTAGGTGTGTACCCAAGACAGATGAAAACTTCTACACACAAAAACTTGTATGTGAATATTCACAATAGTCAAAAAGTGGAAACAAACCCAAATGCCCATCAACTAATGAATGGATGAATAAAAGGTGGTATATGCATACAATGGGATATTATTCTGCAATAAAAAGGAATGAAGTACTGACACATGCTACAACATTGATGAACCTTAAAAACACCATGTTAAGTGAAGTCAGTCACAAAAGGCCATATATTGTATGATTTCATTTATGCAAAATGTCCAGAACAGGCAAATCTGCAGAGAAGGAAAATAGATTAGTGGCTGCCTAGTGGTGGGAGAATTGGAGGAAATGGGGCTGACTGCTCCTTTGGAGGTCTGATGTTTCTTTTTGGGTGATGAAAATATTCTAAAGTTGATTGTGATGAATGATCACACAACCTTGTGAATATATTAAGAATACACTAAAAACTTTTGCATTGTATAAATATGTGAATTGCATGGCATGGGAGTTATATCTCAATAAAATAAACTAGCAACAATCACATGAGGCCAGCAAGTGCTTTCCCCTTTAGACAGGCACGTGCTTGCTGATCTGCCACAGTCCCCACTACTCCCCACTGCTTTACTACTTGCCTCACTTAAACCAACCAGCTGGCCCCTTAGACACTAGATTGGATGACTTTAGGGTGAAGAAAGAAAAAGGGAAGGCAAAATGCTTAGCATATAAACCTTAAATATTATTTAGGAGCCCAGCTGGTGGGGGCAAGACATTGATGTGGTATCTTGGGGCCAGCTTCTCCCTTGGGCCCTGGGGACACAGAGCCAAGGGCCCATAATGCTTTCATGGGTCCACAAAAATGTTTAACTTTTTTTAAAATCAGAAGAAAAAAATGAACTTTTTTTTAGGTGATGAACATTTTAATATATTATGTAAATATATTCACCTATAACCAATGCAGTTGTAAATATAATTTAAAAAAAATTTTTTAGGAAGGGATCTAAAAGGCAAAAGTGCCTGGAGTCCACAAAATTTGATGTGACTCTAGGTGCTGGTCCCAATTTGACTGTTAAAGTTTACCTCTCCAGATTTTGATAAAACAATATAACATTAAAGAAAGTTTAAAACAACTCATCAAAATCCATTCATTCCAGCACATCACCTATTCTCATTTTTTAAACTTTCCTTCTAGTTCTTGGCTGTCAGCAAACACCTCTCTCAGTGAGCTATAATCTTGGCACCAGTAATGTGCTCTGTGGCTCCTACTGGTAACTTGGTGGCCCTGGGCCTTATTTGCTTCATCTGTAAAGGGAGGTGAGGGTCTGACATTTTAGTATAGAGCCTGGGGAGGAAGCGAGATGACGGAACTATAGGAGCAGCATCTAGCCACTTGGGGCCTCATGATTCTTTGGAAGGGATGACATAAATAAGAGAGGAGTCCACTCCTTAGCTTGGCACTTAAGACCTTTTGTGATCTGGCCCCTGCCTTCCTCCTCAGCCCCATTTCCTTCCCCCAACTTCCTTTTGCCTTTGCATTTATATGGTGCTGGGAGGAAGTTCAGGATCCCAAAGGGGCTTAAACAGAACTTAGAGAAGAATTTAAGAAGCTTCAAACAGACACAAGAATTGAAATTGCTGGAAGCTTCCAGGTTTTTCTACCTCCCAACTCACATTGGTTCCATTTTGACCCCAAATCTATCTCCTTGCTGAGATCAGCATAAAATTCTTAGACCAGGAGTTGCATGCTCACCCTAAAGTCATCCAATCTCGTGTCTAAGGGGCCAGCTGGGTGGTTTAAGTGAGGCTAGTGGTAAAGCAGTGGGGAGTAGTGGGGACTGTGGCAGATCAGCAAGCATGTGCCTGTCTGAAGAGGGCAGCACTTGCTGGCCTCATGTGATTGTTGCTGTGGGACTTGGAGTTGTGAGCCCAGCATGTGGCCAGATCTTCTGATTCTTCGGGGAAAATCAGAAATCTGATTTGTAGGCAACATTTTCCCTATTTTTAGGATCTTGTGTGTTTGTGAGCAGGGTTCCTGCAGGAGCTCCCTTTATGAGAAAGGGTCTGGAGCCTGGGGCATATCTTGCTCATTGCTGCATCCTTGGTGGTCAGCTTAGCACCTGGTGTCAATGAGACCCTGGAAGAAAGACCAGCAAGTTGAATTTCTTAGGGGCATGAAGTTTGGGTAGAAGGCATTAATTAATTAATTAATTAATCAATCAATTAATTAATTCATTCATTCATTCATATACTCCTTCAATAAATATTTATTGAGTATTCACTATGAATCAGACACTGTTCTAGGTGCTAGGGAACAGGCAGGAAGAGAGATGGGGAGTGTCAAAGGAGGGACCTTTGGAATGTTAAATAGGCAAGTTAGAGAAGCCTCCCTCAGAAGGTAACATTCGAGAAAAGTGATAGAGGAAGGGTACACCATTCAGCTAGCAGAAGGAAGAATGCTCCAGGCAGAAGTAGCAGCATGTGCAAAGGCCAAGGGAGGAGAAGGCCCTGAGGAGGCACATTTATGGATCAGCAAAGAGTCTAATGTGGCTGGGTGGAGCGAGTGAGGGGGAAGCTAGTAGGAGATGAGCTCAGGAGGTGATGGGGGACCTCGTAGGCCATGCATGGTGAGGACTTGGGTTCTGACCTCATTGAATTGGGAACCATGGGAGGGTTTTGAGCAGAGAGCACCTAATCCATCTCCGGCTGTGCCAGGACCCTTTGGTCACCATGTGGCTGAGGGAAGAAGCGGGGGCGCCCATGCAGCGGCTGCCACAGTAATTCTGGTGGAGGTGATGGTGGCTGGACAAGCGGCAGTTCAGAAGTGGTGGGTTCTAGATACACCGCAAAGCTTGAGCCACAGATCAGTGGCCTGAGCACCCAGAGGCTGGAATTGCCATTTACTGAGCTGGGGGTGCATTGAGGTTGGGGTTTAGGGCCACCAAGTTACCAGTGGGGCTCACAGCCTGTGGCTATCTGTCTAAGAATCACACACAAAAGGTAGAATTATAAGGTGGCTGGGTGCCCTGTAGAGGCCAAGAGGCCATGAGGGTTTGTAGTCGGGGGAAGCATGTTCCTGGCAGGGAACAGCACCTGTGAAGACCTTGTGGTGGGAGGGAACACCAGGAACATAGGAGCAGAGAGGAGCGGACAGGAGGTGCAGCTGGTTGTGGGTGGAGGGGCTCGGGGAGGCCAGTCCTGGGTCCACGTGCAAGAATTTGGGCTTTGCCCTTTCAGAGGTCATCTGAGGTTTTGAGCAGGCGTGTGTACCTGTGTGTGCTTGTTCACATGCATGCATGTGTGTGTGTGTGTGCACACATGCACGTGTGTGTGTTTGATGTGAACAGAGCCGTGTGTTTTGAAAATACTCCTCTGGCTGCAGTGTGGAGAATGTATTGGAAGGAGGCCTGGCGGCCCTGTGCTGGTGGGCCTGGATGGGGAGCTGTGGAAAGGGGCTGAGGGCTGTGAGGAGGTGACAGTGGCAGGCCTAGATCAGATCGGGTGGTGAAAACATTGTGGTGCTGCTCAGCTGATTTGGCAGGCTCACCATCCGCATTCCTCAGGGACACTGGCTTTCTGGAAATAAGGGTTAGAGAAAGATGTCACTTGGTTGGAGATGCTCAGGCCTTGGGCCCCATGCTCCACTTGGGGTCAGGGCTCTTGGAAGGGGGAGATACGAAAGGCTGACATTCTCATGCCCTTTCACATTCTGAAAATCTTTCTTTTCCTTTCAAAGGTGAAAAGTGTCGCAGCTTCATTGACCTGGCACCGGCATCGGAGAAGGGTAAGGTGTGCAAGCCTCACCCTCTTGAGAGACACTGCCCTCATCCCTGTGGGAGCCTGTTCTTCAGCAGCCCTGGGCCACGGTGCCCTAGGAGCCAGAATCCTGGTGCAAAGCTCCAATTCTGGAGCAGCCAATGAAGTGGGGGAGGTGGTTGGAGGAAGAGCATCCTGTCCTCTCCCCCAAGTGGGGGCAGTCCTGAGAATCATTACACTTTGTTACTGGCAGTGCACGCTGGGACTCTAAGGGAGATAGGATGAATGTGCGAAGTTGGGGTCAGGCAAGACCAGTGTTGGAAGCATTGCCTCCAGCTGTAGGATTTGACCTTGGGGGAGGGAAGCCACATGTCCTGTCTCTGTCATCTTGAAGGTGTATGTTGGGGGGGTCCAGCCTGCTGGGATGCTGCTATGCAGAGAGGGCTTATGATGCCCAGGGCCAGTAACAGAGATTCTGACCCACAGTGATGCTTGGACAGAGTGATTAGGAGCAGGCTGAGCTTGCATGGGGGGCACAACACTCAGGATTAGGTTTAGCTGCAAGAAATGGTGACCCCAAATAACTGGCTTCAATGGATAAACTAATTTATTGCTTTTATAAAAGTTTAAAAGTAGGCAATCCAGGGTGGCTCTGCACCATGAAGTCCTCAGGATCCAGGCCCCTGCTGCCTCTCTCTGTCATTCCTATGGCCTTTGTCTTCATGGTCTAAGATGGTGGCTAGAGCTCTAGCTGTCACATCTGCATTCCTGGCACAGGATGGAGGAAGGGCAAAGCTTGTATGTTGACTCTAAGGTTTCCAGAAGTTGCCCCACAACACCTGCTCTTTTCTCCTTGGCCAGAACTTGATCACAGAGCCAACTTGATCACTCAGCTGCAAGGAAGCTGGAAAATGAGGTCTTCATCCTGGCAGCTATATGCTCAACTAGAAGTCCAGGGTTTTATCATGGAAAAACAGGAGGAAACTGTTGGGTACTCGAGGATACACTGCTACAGGAGCATAGGGTGTGGCTGCCTCCCTGCCTGCCTATCCCCTGCCACCAAGAACAGCAACCGAGAGAGAACAGATGTTCAGGACTCTTCAAACAGCCTGGAGGTCAGGAGAGGGTTTTGGTCCTGGGAATTCAGGTGGGGAAACTGAGGCAGAAGTCCAGTTCTATAAACTGTCCCAACATGGGGGGCTTTGGCATGTGTGGCTCTGGAAAATCTGCAGTCCAGGACATGTGGCCACCCATGCCCCCGGCTGGTGGGGCTGAGCTTGTGGTTTCCCAGCAGTGTCGGGAGGCCCAGGGATCTGGAGAGTCACCTCTCTGACCTGGGAGGTATTGGCAGAGGGGGGAGGGCAAGGAAGCCATGGTCATGGAGACTGGTGACATTCCTGTCTCACAGACACTGTCTCCTTGGAGAGTTCTAGCCAAGTGGTGGCTGGTGGGACCGAGGGGCATGTGACAGGGAACCCCCAGGGTCCTCAGGCCCAAGAGGAGGCCAGGCTGTCCTGTGACAGAACTCTAGGCAGTGCGATGGCCGTTCCAATGACTGTGCTCTGGTTAGTTGCTACATGTGGCCACCCCTGAGGTTTTGGGCTGAGCAACTCAGGCCACAGCTTCCAAACTGAGGTGTTCAGGGAACAGTACGCAAAGGACTGATGGTACCAGCCACTGCTGACTAAGCTCTTACTGTGTGCCAGACACTGTGTCAGCTCCCTCTGTGTATTAGGTGAGAAGCTTCCCCTCAAGCTTGGGAGGAGGGGATTGATGGTCTCACCTTACTTGACAGATGAGGAAGCTGAGGCTTAGTGGCATTAAGTCACTGAGACTCACATTTCATAAGGGATAGAGGTCAGAGGTCACATACCAGGTCCTCTGTTGTCCTGCATCTTAGCAGCTGATACCTGGAGGCAGCCCTCTGGGACCCATATTCCCCAAGGCCTTGGAGTTCCTGGGTCAGCTCTGTTTCAAATCTGGCTGCCAGGAAGCAGGCCTATGTGTGCAAATGTGATGTGTATGCATGTCTGGTTGAGGGTTAGTGTATGCGTGCATGAGCAGGTGTTCCTGTGAGAGTGTGTGCACACTGGTGGGTGTGGAGGTATGCACATGTGTGTACATGTGTGAGAGTGCACATGCATGTGTATCTATGGGAGCAAGCACAAAATGTGTGTCCAAGTGTGAACACACATGGGGTATGTGTGCACCTGTGAGCATGTGTGGATGTGTGTACACATGTGTGTTTCCATGTACAGGGGCAGGCAGGTTGCTCATGCCTCCTCTTGGGAGGCATCAGACCTTTAGTCTTGCTTCTTTTATGAGGACTGAGGGTCCCAGAGAGGTTGTATCTTTGTGCTTTACTGGCTGCATGATTTTACTCTCAGGGCTTGGCGACCACGCTGAGGACCTTCTGGCTGTGTATATAAAAATGTTTATAAGGAGGCTGAGTGGGCTGGCTTTGCCGCCAAGCTGCAGAGCAGTTTGCATGTACTTGCTGCCTCTCAAGCCCTTCAGCCCTCCCCTGGGGTCTGCAGGGTTTGATCCTGGCGGTACTGGTAGCCTCTCCCCTCCCAGGGTCCCAGACTGCCCTCCCAGAGGCGCCTGCGGGAAGGTGGCAGTCATAGGTCCTTCCATTTGCTCTTCGTGCCCTGTCCACGCTGCCTGTGCATTTCATAGACGAGGATCCCAAGTTGTAGAGATGGGGTGTCTTGTTCAGGGCCACACAGGGACTCTACAGCTGATGTTGAGCTGAGGTGTCTTCTCTTCCAAAGAACACTCTTCTCCCAGATTTTTGCTCCTGCACCTTCTCCCTCTGTACTTCCCTTCAGTTTGGCAAAATATGATAAAAATCATGACCCTCACACTAACTGGCTTTCATGTAGTGCTTTGAATGTGCAATGTTCTGAGAACTTTATGCACATTGGCTCATTTAATCCCCATTTTGCAGATGAGGAAACTGAGGCATAGTTAATTGACTTGCCCAAGGTTATCTAGTTAAAACCCTAAGATTTGAACCTGAGCAGTCTGACTCTTAATTGCCTGGTTCTTCTGCTGGAAAGCTAGGCCTTCTGAGACTGTGTGTATGTGTGTGTATATTGGTGTGGTGTAGTTGAGGGTTGGTGCATGTATGTGGGAGCAGGTGCTACTGTGAGTGTGTGCATGCGTATCTCATGTGTACATGCTTGCATGCTGGTGGGCAAGTGCATGTGAGCGTGGGGGTGCACACATGTGAGTGTGCATGCATGTGCATACATGTGTGGCCAAGTGTGAGCATGCATGCATGTGAGTGTGTATGTGGGCATGCATGTGCTCTGGGTGACACTCTTCCTTCCTTCTTCACCAGGACCTCTGAGCTGAGGCCAGGTGGTTCTCAGGCTCATGTTCCCCGCCTTCCTCCACCCCCATCCACTTGGCAAACCACAGTCATGCTTTCAAGGCCCTTCTCAAACGGCACCCCCTCTTTGCCATTTTCTCCGATATCCTCCTGCCCCTTGCTCCCCCCATCCTCCCCTGGCAAAATATTCATCTGTCCTCAGTGGTTTTGCCATAGCACACATTTTTCTTAGTTTGCCTGACCATTCTTATTTTGCGTTTCGCATGGGAAATTCTTTCCACTTTCCACTAGTGTAAGCCACAGCCATTTTTCATCTGGAATCCTGTCATAAACTCTTAACTGGTTACTTCCTTCCATTTTGCCCCCTGATTCATTTGTAGCCAGAATGATCTTTTTAAGGCATAAATCATCTCATGTATCTCCCTCTTTAAAACCATCCCTGGGCTCCTGTCTCACTCAGAGTAAAACTCAGTGCCCTCATCTTGGCCTCAAAGGTCTGTGGCATCTGGTCCTGTACCTCATTTCCTGCAATACCACCTCCCTTGCCACACTCCACCTCCCCCAAATCCTTACTGTCCTTGGGTCAGCCAAGCTAGTGTGTGCCCCAGGACCTTTGCATTCGCTGTTCCCTGCTCCTGGAACACTGTTCTCTCGGCTCTCTGCACAGCTGGTCATTTCGGTTCAGATGTCACATCTTCAGGGAAGGCTTTGTGTAATCTTTGCTCCTCTCCACTCCTTCTCTGTGTAGTTGTCCTCATATCACTTATTATCACCTGAAATGTATTCAGTGTTTGATTAACGGTGGTCTCCCCGAGTTGACCTTCAGTTCCAAGAGGGGATTTTGTCTTGTTTGGGACTCACTGTATCCCCAGTGTCCAGAGCAATGCCTAGCACTGATAGGTACCCCAAAAAACTGGAATGAATGAAAAATGAACATTGATTTTAAACAGCATATACTTTTGCTATAAAAATTAAAGCAATTCTTAAATGTGTAAATGAGAAATGAGTCTCTTATCAGCCCACCCTTAGTGGTAGTTTGTAGTATTAGTTCTTGAAGATAGATGGATAGATAGATAAACTCTATCTATCTATCTATCTATCTATCTATCTATCTATCTATCTATCTTAGAGACACATACACATGTATATATAAAATCATGGATTGCTTTTCATATCAATATGTACAACTCACCCTTATCTTTTGAAACAACTGTATAATAATTCATCACATCGAGACAGTTTATTTAACCAAGCCGTATTGTTGGCCACTCTGAGCATCCTGTATCATAGTTGAATAATAGTTACTTGTACACATATCTTTCTCTCTTACAAGACTGGGACCCTCTGAGGGTGGCAATGGTTTCTTATTTACCTCCGGGCCTCCAGGGTGCAGCCTAGCACTGCAGTGCCACTGACAGAGCAGCATAGAAAGTGCTCTAACAAAGATCTGCCCAGGGCCCAGGGGAGGCAGAGGAGCTGGAAGGAATTAAAGATGCCCAGGCAGTTTATGAAGATGAGATGTGCAAATGCAGATGAACAGCAATGTCTGTGTGCAGTGAACTTGATACTAAAAATGCAGAGGGAAAGCTCCTTATACTTCCTTGACTTCTTCTAGGCTATCTACTCTCCAAATCCCAGTCTCTAAGTCACTGGGATGAGATTCTCCTACCAAATACTTGTGATCAACTGGG